AGTGATGGCAAAGTCCATCAAACAGAAACTAACTCATTCATACACATTGGATAAATTCCTGCCCCTACATGTATATTAGTCTGATTGTTTGGTTATTTTGGTTTGCTCCACATCACTTTATTATTATTTTCACTCAATTATAGATATGCTTAATGTTAATGTCTTAATATCATGTATTCAAGTTGTTTGGATTTTCTTATCGTATGTCGATACTGTAATTCTACATTCAGGACTCCAGCAAGACTAAAGGCACATTCAAATTTAATGGAGAGTCTTAAATAAACAAAAATTCCAATGAAAAAGTACTGTTTGGTTGTGTCTTTGTGTGATTGTGGCTGTTAAACTGCTCTGTGTAGTATGAAAGACAACCCTGCAGTAACACTGATGTATTCAATGCTTAATGCACACAATGGGAAATGAAAGTGTAGCAGGTTGGCCGAGCTCAGCCTCAGTATGGCTCTTGTACCTGTGTGAAGGATTCGGCTGAGGACTGGGTTAGGTGAGAGAAAGGGCTGATCCTGGCATGACTGCACCACAGAGCCGACTGCGGTGGTCAAGATCCGTGCGTTCTCCTCTCTCAGGTTGACTCCAGCCATGGAGGCTACGTCATTGATGTCATCGTCTTCTCTGGAAAACAGACACACACATACACACATACACACACACACACACTCTTTGCACAGGTTAGCCAGCTCTGCACTTTGACAGAATTTTAGTGACTTAAATTGAGTCTACAGAGATCAACTCTATATATTACTTGTAAGTTCCTGGACTGTCCTTAAATGCAAATTTGGTACAAGGGGGATCCTGAGTGAACAGTTGTTTCATTGAAAATGTTCCTAGAAAGAGAGAAACATACAAAATTATTTGGAGAGTAGAACTTTAAGTTTATGTCCGAGTTTGTGAAAAGACAGACTACTTTAGAGACTGAGAAATCTAAGTTTGCTAAAAGTGTGACTACAGGCCACTGTGAATAACTAACTAACCTTACAACCTAAGACCACAGCTCCATCTTGTATGAAAGGGAAACATGGGTAGTATATTCAAACCAACATGTTGCCTGCACCCAGAGCTCCCTCCTCTCACCTTACAGGTGCATCTCAATAAATTTGAATATTGTGGAAAAGTTAATTTATTTCAATGATTTAATTCAAAAAGTAAAACTCATATATTATATAGATTCATTACACA